TGAAGATTTTTTTTTTTAAGGTTTTACTTATTTATTTATGAGAGGCAGAGAGGCAGAGACACAGGCAGAAGGAGAAGCAGGCCCCTCAAAAGGAGCCCAATGGTGGGACTCGATGCCGGGATCACGCCCTGAGCTGAAGGCAGACGCTCAACTGCCGAGCCACCCAGGCGTCCCTATGTTAAAGATTATTATTGACATTTTAAGATTTTTACAAACAGTGGTAATTCCTTCTTATTTCACATTGAGTGACAGTGCTTAACACATTTTTTTAAAGAGCACATGAGCAAGTGGGGGGAAGGGCAGAGGGAGAGACAGAAACTTAAGCAGGCGTGGCACCTAGCTCAGAGCCCACACTGAGCTCAGCCTCACAACTGTGAGACAATGACCTGGGCTGAAATCAAGGGTTAGACACTTGCCAACTGAGCAACCCAGGCACCCCTTAACATACTTTTTGACACAACGCTTGATATAGTGTGTATACTGAATAAAAAATTTGTGTAATATATGATAGATTTTAGGAGATACTTGTTCTGAATTTGTGCTTTTTTTTCAGACAAGATTGAGACATAGGTAAACCAGTATTTTAGTACATACTCTTATTGCTGCCAGGAAAAAACTGTGTATGCGGATATGTCCTTTTTTTTTAATTTTAATAAAGAGTTTTGTGTTTGTAACAGTGGAAGGTTGAGGTCAGGGAACAGACTTAGTTCCTTACCCATGAACTTCAGCACCTCAGCTATAGCAATTTTAGGTGCAGCTCAAAGGATCAAATTTTAGTTAGATAGCACTCTTATTCAGTGTTCTTTAGATAGCATTCTCTCCTCTCAGTTATAATACAAAAATATTTTGGGGGAAATTACATCAGTAATATGGTAATACAATAAAATATTTTACAGAATAATAATTTCCCATTCTGTAAAGGAAAAACAATCTTTTTGTTAAATCTAGTAAAATTCTGTATTATAAATAATTTCATTATAAGAATTGATGGGTGGAAAAAATGTGGCATGATGTAGTGGAACAAGCATTTTGCTTTGTCATTTTCATTGTTTAACCTCTCTGGGTCTGGTTTTTTTTTTTTTTTTTTTTTTTTTTTTTTTTTAAGATTCATCTATTCAAGAGAGACGCAGAGAGAGAGAGAGACAGAGGCAGAGACACAGGCAGAGGGAGAAGCAGGCTCCTCACAGGGAGCAGGATGTGGGACTCGATCCCAGACTCAAGGATCATGCCCTGAGCTGAAGACAGATGCTCAACTGCTGAGCCACCCAGGCATCCCTCTGGGTCTGTTTTTTTTTTTTTTTTTTTAACCAGAAAGTATGTTTTCATGTTTACTGTGCAAAGATGGACATGAGGAGTGCAAGTAATAGATGTAAAGTTCCTGGAGTAGTAGCTGTTATGTGTTTTGATGTCCAATATAAATAGCAGCTGTTATTATATGATTATGATGTTATTAAAGGAAGACTAAAAAATGCAGAAAGGACAAATGAAATTTATATGGAAGGTAGTATATAAGGAAGATCAGTCTGACAGCAAGGTTGGTTTCAAGTTTGTATTCAGTTTTGAATTACCAAAATAGCTTTACCAAAACTAACTGTAAGATCATTTTCTCATATGTTAAGGTGATAAATAATAATATACCTAATTATTGTTTGATTATTGTGTGTGCTTAAAAATATCTTATTCTTTGGATGGTTTTAGTTGGCATAGTAGCAGGAGAGATTCTAGGTTTGTGTAATACCTTTTATGGATTCTTTACTGAAGTGTATAGCATTAAGTAAGACTTTATTTTTTTAGCATGAACAAACTTAATTCAGATCCATAGCTCATTGTAATTGTGGTCATTTAATCAAGATGGCTTAAAGGAGCACTATTTCTTCTTAAGAAATATGTGTTACCTAGTAATTAATATATGAATTCATAAACATGAAAAATATTTTAATACTGGGCAGTAGTTGAAATGGCCAGTTAAAATATTTTATTAAATTTTTGAATATGATTGAACTTGTATAACTCTTAGGTTTTTTATTTTTATTTTTTTTAGCTCTTAGTTTTTCTTTTTTGTTTTTTTAAAGATTTTATTTATTTATTTATTCATGAGAGACAGAGAGAGAGAGAGAGAGGCAAAGACACAGGCAGAGGGAGAAGCAGGCCCCATGCAGGGAGCCTGACGTGGGACTGGATCCTGGGTCTCCAGGATCAGTCCCTGGGCTGAAGGCGGTGCTAAACCGCTGAGCCACCCGGGCTGCCCTAACTCAGGTTTTAAATGCTAAGTGAATGCTAATTCTTCAGGATAATTGCATGCTATTTCTAGTACAGTTTCAGATACTTTAAACATTTAAAATATTAAAACTGAGTAGTACTTCATTCACTTGAAATGTTTCAATCATGTAGCCTATAAATATCAGCAATACTCAGATGTTTTGAATGGGTTGGAAGAGTGTGTGTGTGTGTGTGTGGGGGGTAACTTTATATGTAGCTTACAGTATTTCTGAGCAAAGTCCAGTAGAATTAAGGGAATTTAGGGACGCCTGGGTGGCTCAGTGGTTGAGCGCCTGCCTTTGGCCCAGGGCGTGATCCTGGAGACCTGGGATCGAGTCCCACATCGGGTTCCCTGCATGGAGCCTGCTTCTCTCTATGTGTCTTTCATGAATAAATAAATAAAATCTTAAAAAAAAAAAGAATTAAGGGAATTTAGTTAGCTGGAGAGCATTGCACATGGCACCCTTTAGAAAAGTTCTTTAACTATAAATACAGATTTGCAACTATTAAACCGTAAACCTATTATTGGAGCATTAAATATAAAATATTAGCAACAAACTGATATTTTATATTTAGAAGAGCTTTTGAAAAAAACTCAAGTCCCATAAACAGGTTAGTTGGAGTTGGTAGCCATGGTAAAATTCTGTTTTCCTCCAACATAGGCATGGAATTGTGGTGGCCATTGGTTTCTATTCTCTGTTCATTTTCTTTTCTTCCTTTTTCTTTAGAAACTATTGTAGTTTGTAAAGTGGGAAGGTTTCCTTTTGTGCATAATGTTAAAGTCAGGAAAATGACCAATGTTTCTCTAGATATGTTGTACAGATCTGCTCTGTTAATACAAAAAAATTATAAAAGAGGTTTTTGTTGATATTCTTAAGACTTTTTGTATTAGTATTACATGGCTTAAAAACTATTGCAGTCTATAATAGACTATTTACAAAGGACATACAGATCTTCATGTGATACGTTGACAATTTCATTTTTAAATAGAATTTCCATCTCAATATTTTAGTTCTTAAGTTGGTAATCAGATTGGTTTTGGGCAGGCCCTGTTCTATCAAAATCCCCAGGGATATGACATGTTCAAAAGTGCTATTTTTTTACTTTGATGTTCTACAGTTTTAGCTCACCTTCCTATCAGTGATTTATACTTGTCAGGATGTTTTTGTTTTGGGTGGGGCCAAATGGTCAGTATTCTGGCTTCATCATTTATTAGCTAATGGATCTTAGACAAGCTGTTTAATCTACACAAACATCAGTAAAACCTATATTAGGGTTATGGTGAGGATTGAATAAAATAGTGGATGTTGGGCAGCCTGGGTGGCTCAGCGGTTTAGCGCTGCCTTTGGCCCAGGATGTGATCCTGGAGACCGGAGATCAAGTCCCACGTCAGGTTCCCTGCATAGAGCCTGCTTCTCCCTCTGCCTGTGTCTCTGCCTCTCTCTCTTTGTCTCTCATGAATAAATAAATAAAATATTAAAAAAAAAGATAGTGGATGCAAATCATGTCACAGTGTCTGGTACATAATAAAGTATATTGTAGATGATGGTGGTGGTTGCAATAGTAAGTACAAATCTGTATACAAATTTCACTTTTTTGAAATTCAGCTCTAGACGTAGGAGGGATCATAGAAATGGAAATGCACTGTATGCCTACAGAAAATAAATTAGAAATTTGTCATGTAGACACTTAAAGGAAACTAGTCAGCAGTGTTGCTCTTATTTCCTGTTTTTTTTCCCCTTTCACTGTAATATCTGTTCTGTTTTTTGATTCCTGTTGAAGGCAGTGCTCTGTATCTTCCCTTCCTCCATCTGTGTTTAACAGCTGTTAACTTACATAAATGAAAGACATAGTTTGAAATTCTTCGTGGATATTAAAGGCTATGTTTTTAAATCTGTATCCTGGGATCCCTGGGTGGCTCAGCGGTTTAACGCCTGTCTTCAGCCCAGGGTGTGACCTGGAGACCTGGGATCGAGTCCCACATCAGGCTCCCTGCATGGAGCCTGCTTCTCTCACTGCCTGTGTCTCTGCCTCTCATTCTCTGTGTGTCTCTCATGAATAAATAAATAAAATGTTTAAAAAAAAAATAAATCTGGGCAGCCCAGGTGGCGCAGCAGTTTAGCGCCGCCTGCAGTCTAGGGCGTGATCCTGGAGACCCTGGATTGAGTCCCATGTCAGGCTCTCTGCATGGTGCCTGCTTCTCCCTCTGCCTGTGTCTCTGCCTCTCTCTATGAATAAATAAATAAAAAATCTTTAAACAAACAAACAAAAAACATTAAAAAATAAATCTGTATCCTATATTTATTGATAATAACTCAAAACATGCAAGACATTGCTATTTATAATATTTATGCCTATGTTTACAGAATTGTAACAGTACTTTTTTAAAAAATGACATATGATTTTTACTGTTTAATTTTTTAAAAGATTTTATTTATTTATTTTGGAGAGAGAGAGAGAGAGAGAACAAGCAGGGGAAAGGGGAGAGGGAATCCCAAGCAAACTGCACTGAGCATTGAGCCCAATGCGGGGCTTGTTCCCAGGACCCTGAGATCATGACCTGAGCTGAAATCAAGAGCCAGACACTTAACCGACTAAGCCATCCTGGTGCTTCAGGAACAGTACTTTCTTATATCCTGCTTAAAAGATTGAAGATGTATATTACATTTGTACCAGCCTTAAGTCCTACCGAAACAAGGTTAAGCATAAATAATTTTTTTTCTTTTCACACATTTATTCAGTTGAATATCAAGTTTTTCATGGGCTCAGAATTTCCAGAACTTTGAAGAATGAAGAGAAATAACAATGTATACAGGTATACGTTAATTTTTTATGTTTACATTGATATAGACCATTTTGAAATTTGAGCAAACGTTTTAGAATGTACTTCTAAGTTTGGTACATTGTTGTTTATTTTGGAAGCATAAAAGACCTTTCTGCATCCATTTGCCATTAAAAACACTTATTCAAAAACCTACTAAAAAAGCATGTTGCTAGAAGTTGGTGAGCTCTGGACTTGTAATCCTGTATAAGCAGAGTTGTAGCTTAAGTAATCCCAGAAATACAACATCCTGTCATTCACCTACCTCCCAGATTCCCTGTGAATTTATGGATTCCTATGAAGCTTATGGTAAAACTTGATATGCTTATAATAATCAATTTCAGACTAACTGTATAAATAATTTAAAAAGTAAGATGTAGGTGGAAGACCTTGAATATCTATAGATTAGTCCATTTATTTATTCTTAAGGCCGGCTTTTGTTGTTGAGTGTCTAGTGTATAGCAGGTATGTGTTAGGCATGCTGAAGGGCAAAGTAGTACCTTCTTTTTGGTCAGAACGAAAAAAAAAGATGCTGTCAGGTTCCAACTCTTCTCCCTTCTCAGTAGTATACCTAATCTGCAATCCTGACCTCAGTATTGATCTCTTAATATCTTACTTCAGCATTTTGTTGCTTTCTCCCATTTATTTCCTTATTATATATTATTTTTCAGGTTAGAACATATATATCCTGTCATGACAAAGGACTTTACGAAAAGGATTTTCCTTCATTTATGCAAATAATACATATTTTCAAGAAAATTTGTAAAAAATAAGAAATATAAATATGGGTTTTAGTGTGAAACCATAAAGTTAACATTTATATATTATAGAATATATAATTTTATATATATTATACTCTGTATATTCTATATATGTATATATATTTTACATCTAATAGAATATTATAGAAAATATAATTATATATATTATACTCTGTATATTATATATATATATATATATATATATATATTATATCTAATAGAATATAGCCTGATAGTCTATTTAATTTTGTTGTGGTAATTCCTGTTGGCAGTTTCTATTGCTATTTGCCTTTATAGTCCCTCTGTTGGTGTTCCAGCCAGAGCAGACTATTAAAAGTATGTTTGGCACTTGTATGCCAATGTTTATAGCAGCATTATTCACAATAGCCAAAGGAGGAAACAAGCCAAATGTCCATCAACAGATGAATGGATAAACAACAGATGAGTGGAGATCTATTTATCTATCTACCTACTTATCTATACCTATCTTTCAACCTTAAATATATCAAGTTTTTTATAGTCCAGAGTTTCCAACACCTTGTAGAATGAGAGAAGCATATATATAATGAAATATTATTCAGTTACAAAATGGAATGAAACTCTGATACATTCTGTGGTGTGGATAATTCTTGAAAACATTGTTGAATGACATAAGCCAGATGCAAAAGGACAAATATGATTCTACCTATGAATCTAGAATAGATAAATTTATACAGTCAGAAAGTAGATGAGAGATTACCTGAGGCTGGAGGGAAGGAAGAATGGATACAGAGTTCCTCTTTGGGGTGATGAAAAAGTTTTGGAAATAGACAGTGGTAATGGTTGTACGACATTGTGAAAATTAATTCCAGTGAATTGTATACCTAAAAATGGTTACAGTGGTAAATTTTATGTTAAATATATTTTACCATAATTAGGAAAAAAAATCTATTTAGAACTCTTAAGGGCATGTGGCTAGTTCACAGTTTTACTTCTGTGTGAGGTGATCTCTCTCATTCATGTTCCATCATGCTCCCCTAGTTCCTGCTCCATAATTTTTTTAAAAACAGGCTGGCACTGATTATTTGAGTGGTATTTTATGGATAATTAATTTTTCTTCTTGATTTAAGAAAAATTTTTTTGCTATAAATGTACATCACTCAGTGACAAAATCTATAAATAAACATTTTGAAAACAAAATGAAATCAGAAAAATTCTTTTTTTATCTTTAGTATACCTTATAAATAGTATGCTTTTCTTTCTGTTATCCTTTATCTCTTCCTGATCATCTCTCACTATTTTTGATATATATATTCTTTAATTATACAAGTTTTATATAACAAAATTGGAGATAATTGGGAAAAGAATGAAATTCTAACATTCAAATTCTAACATAAACCTTGGTTTTAATCTTGTGTATTTCCCCCCTTCCCATTTTTAACACCACAGTAATGAAAACCTATTTACAACAGCTCTTTTTACCTAGTACATCATATCCAACTATCAAGAAAAATTACAAGATATACTAAAAGACAAAAAAGACAGTTTGAAGTGCTAGAACAAGCATCAGATCTAGCCTTAGGTATGGTAGGGGTATTGAAATTATCAGAACAAGAAAGAATTTAAAATAACTGATGAAAATGCTAAGGACTGTAATGGATAAGGTAGACAGCATCTAAGAATAGATGGACAATGTTAGATGAGAGATAGAAATTCTAAGAACCAAAAAGAAATGCTAGAGATCAAAGACATTGTAGCAGTGTAACAGAGAAATACTGTAACCATTTGATGGGCTTAGAAGATTGGACTACTACTGGCTGAGGAAAGATTCTGAGTGTGAAGATGTTGAATAGAACCTGCTAAAACTAGAAAGGAAAGAGAAAAAAGATGGGAAAAAAAAACAGAACAAAATATTCAGGAACTGTGGGACAGCTACAAAAGGTTTAACATATGTGTAATGGGAATTCCATAATGAGAAAAGGAAAGGAACAGAAGAAATATTTGAAACAGTAATGACTGAGAATTGCCCCAAAATAACATCAGTTAGTGAATCACAGATCTGGGAAGTTCAAAGAATACCAAGCAGTATAACTGTGAAAAACTACACTCAGGCATATCAGTTTCAAACTACAGAAAATCAAAGATAAAGAAAAAATTCTGAAAGAAGCCAGAGGAAAAACACACCTTATCAATGGAGAAGCAATGATGAGAATTACAGCCAATTTCTCAGCAACCATGTAAGCAAGAAGAAAATGGAGTAAAGCATTTAAAGTGCTTAGAGAGAGGAGGGGCAAGATGGCGGAAGAGCAGGGTCCCCGAGTCACCTGTCCCCACCAAATTACCTAGATAACCTTCAAACCATCCTGAAAATCTACGAATTCGGCCTGAGATGTAAAGAGAGACCAGCTGGAACGCTACAGTGAGAAGAGTTCGCGCTTCTATCGAGGTAGGAAGACGGGGAAAAAGAAATAAAGGAACAAAAGGCCTCCGAGGGGGAGGGGCCCCGCGAGGAGCCGGGCTGAGGCCGGGGCGAGTGTCCCCAGGACAGGAGAGCCCCGTCCCGGAGGAGCAGGAGCTGCACCAACCTTCCCGGGCGGGCGGAAAGGGGCTCGCAGGGAGTTGGAGCAGGACCCAGGAGGGCGGGGATGCCCTCGGGCTCCCGGGGACACTAACAGACACCTGCGAGCGCAGGAGAGTGCGCCGAGCTCCCTAAGGGCTGCAGCGCGCACGGCGGGGCCACCAGCGCAGGCCCCAGGATCCGGCCTCCCCCGGGACAGGCAGAGGCCGGGAGGGCCCAGGACAGCGAGGACGCTCCTGCCCCGAGCTGAGCAGATCAGCGGCCCCGCCCCGGAGCCTCCAGGCCCTGCGGACGGAGAGCCCCGTAGTTCCTGCGGAGGCTGAATCCAGGCTTCCAGAGTTGCCATAGCAACTGCGGCTGATCCTCCTGGGGCCCCACGGGGTAAACAACCCCCGCTGAGCCCTGCCCCAGGCAGGGGCAGAGCAGCTCCCCCAAGTGCTAACACCTGAGAATCAGCACAGCAGGCCCCTCCTCCAGAAGACCAGCTGGACGGACCAGTGATACTCCCCCGTGTTCCAATACAACTTGTTTTTGGCCACTCTGCACTGAGCAAAATGACTAGAAGGAAAACCTCACTTCAAAAGAAAGAATCAGAAACAGCCCTCTCTCCCACAGAGTTACAAAATCTGGATTACACTTCAATGTCAGAAAGCCAATTCAGAAGCACCATTATACAGCTACTGGTGGCTCTAGAAAAAAGCATTGAGGCCTCACGAGACTTCATGACTGCAGAATTTAGATCCAATCAGGCAGAAATTAAAAATCAATTGAATGAGATGCAATCCAAACTAGAAGTCCTAACGACGAGGGTTAACGAGGTGGAAGAACGAGTGAGTGACATAGAAGACAAGTTAATGGCAAAGAGGGAAACTGAGGAAAAAAGAGATAAACAATTAAAGAACCATGAAGACAGATTAAGGGAAATGAACGACACTCTAAGGAAGAAAAACCTACGTTTAATTGGGGTTCCCGAGGGCGCCGAAAGGGACAGAGGGCCAGAATATGTATTTGAACAAATCCTAGCTGAAAACTTTCCCAATCTGGGAAGGGAAACAGGCATTCAGATCCAGGAAATAGAGAGATCCCCCCCTAAAATCAATAAAAACCGTTCAACACCTCGACATCTAATAGTGAAGCTTGCAAATTCCAAAGATAAAGAGAAGATCCTTAAAGCAGCAAGAGACAAGAAGTCCCTGACTTTCATGGGGAGGAATATTAGGGTAACAGCAGACCTCTCCACAGAGACCTGGCAGGCCAGAAAGGGCTGGCAGGATATATTCAGGGTCCTAAATGAGAAGAACATGCAACTAAGAATACTTTATCCAGCAAGGCTCTCATTCAAAATGGAAGGAGAGATAAAGAGCTTCCAAGACAGGCAGGAACTGAAAGAATATGTGACCTCCAAACAAGCTCTACAAGAAATTTTAAGGGGGACTCTTAAAATTCCCCTTTAAGAAGAAGTTCAGTAGAACAATCCACAAAAACAAGGACTAAATAGATATCATGATGACACTAAACTCATCTGTCAATAGTAACTCTGAACGTGAATGGGCTTAATGACCCCATCAAAAGGCGCAGGGTTTCAGACTGGATAAAAAAACAGGACCCATCTATTTGCTGTCTACAAGAGACTCATTTTAGACAGAAAGACACCTACAACCTGAAAATAAAAGGTT